CATACATGAAGGCTAAATACATCAACCACAGGGATATTATCAAGGCCAACCTTCCAGACTCTGCCAACTGGAAAAGGATCTGCAAGGCTCACACATACTTGGCTGAGGAGGTCAGGGATTCTTTTCTAAACTCCAGTTTCTGCATGAAGGACACTTACAACCTGCTTAGGGACTCATCTCCTATCCTCTTCTCGACAAGATACACATGGAACAAGCTTCTACCAGGGAAGATTCGTCTGTTCCAATGGAAAATAATAAATGGTTGCTTCCCCTTTCCTGAAACCCTCCGTACCATGAACTACAATATTCCTTCGAGGTGCATTTTCTGCATGCATGACAATGATACGTTGAACCAGAGTCTGCTTCAATGTGAAAAAATCAGGCCTATTTGGAACCTGTATGCATACTATACAGATGGGCCAAGGTTGAGAGAAGGGATAACGTTAAGACAATACCTTTTCCAATGGTGGATCTCCTCCTCGAAGAACAACTTGAAAGGGATTCTACGAGCTTGCTTGCCAGGATTCCTCTTATGGGCAATATGGAAATCCTACTCCGCACACATAATTGGCGGCGAAGCGATCAATCTTATGCGCATCCATCATAACATTGTTTTTATGACTCAAACTTGGGCAAGCCTACACTTTAGAAGACCTTGGATGATGAAGGCAAATGGTCTAGAGGATATTGGACTCAGTGGATGCTGGAACAGAGGGGTCGTCATGCACTAACCCTCTACTTTCTTTTCATTGTATTTCTTTTGTTTTGTTCCATACCTTCGGGGCTTTGGTTTGGTCCTCTCTGAACGTGTTCTTCACCCGTTTTCAATAAAATTTGGTTAATAATATATATATATATATATATATATATATAATATATATATATATATATATATATATATATATATATATATATATATATATTGACTCCAGTGAGATGACAACTTACGGTAAGATGACATGCTTCGGTCAGATGACACAAAGATCACCATTGGTGACTGCAAAGCTCACCAACGCATAATGCAAAGCTCACCTGGAAATAAAGCAAAGCTCACCACTTTGAACCCTAAAACTCACCTTTTTTTTAAAATTTTAATAAATAAAAAATTAATTAAAAATAAAATAACAACACCGGTCAACCACCGGTCAATGACGACGGAGCAGCAGCGGCGGCGGCGACCGGCGGTGGCTGCTTGATTCTGGCGACCGGCGGCGGCGACTGGCGACCGGCGACGGCCGGCGACTAGCAGCGGTAGATGGCGACCGGAGGCGGCGGATGGCGACCGGCGGCGACCGGTGACCAGCGGCGGCGGCGGCAAGCGGCGGTGGCTGCCAGAGTCCGGCGGCGGCGGGCAGCGGCGGCAGACAGCGGTCAATGTTGACGGTCAACAGTCAAAGTCCAGTCAGCACCCTTTCTTTTGATTTTATTTTTTCAAAAAAAATTCAAAGTGTTGAAAAAATATGGTGAGCTTTGCCTTACAGTTTGGTGAGTTTTGTAGTTGTCTTTGGTGAGCTTTGCAGTAAGCAGTGGTGAGCTTTGTGTAATCTGACCGAAACATGTCATCTCACCCTAAGGTATCATCTCACTGGAGTCAATATTTTTTTTTTTGGCCTGAAAATTCACCCGAGGGTGTGGCAGGCCCAGGGAAGCTCTGCCTTATTTATTAATAAAAGAAAACATGGTACATAGGAGGGGGCGGGCTAAACCCCTACAGAGGCCCGACTAAAACCAAACGATAACTACAATCCACCTCAAATCTAAACCAAACCAAACCTACCTGTAAACACCCTAAGAAGTTCACCAACAAGAAAACCAAATAAAAAAAAGGAAACAATGAATTACAAAATCATATCTTCTTTTTTCCGCTATTGTTTTTGTTGTACTTCTTCTTTTTCTTCTTTCCTTTCACACCTCCCTTAGGATTGAAGTCATCCAAAATACGAATAGCATCAAGCTCCATATCATCCTCTAGAGTGTAAGAGTCTTCATCATCAACAGGCATCACAATTTTGTCAGGTACAATTTTAGAAACCGCATGAACCCCGTCCTTTTGCATCTTATGTTCTTCTCCATTCATCCCTAAAGGCATATCAATGAGACTGATTTGCGAGGAGTGACAGTTGTAGTTTTTCGGGTAG